TATATATATATCATGTTTTCGATCTACATAATTTACAAAGATATACACTCGCTTATACCTTCCTTTTTTTGCCACATAATGAAAAACTTTATCGTTGCCATCATTAATGGTAAGGTGTATTCTAGATTATCGATCATCGACATTATATCGCCCCATATTTTGAGCAGAGAATGCACACTCGGAATAATACAGAACCAGAATCCTATATTCAGTATAATGATTACGCGGATATTTGTCATTAATTTCCCCCATTTAGTTTCATTATTTTTCGGCCAAATGCCCAACATTCTCAAGCAGGTCCGATTTAATTTGATGGCCCATTCGTAATCTTCACTTATATTTTAAAAAAAGGGATAAATAAGTTTTATTAAAATCAAATTATCTTATTCAATATATCAAATTTTTTTTATATGTTTGATCTCTTTTATATATTTTTTTCTCTCCGTTAGTTTTCTTTTCTCTGACAAATATTTATATTACTTTACGTATTCTTATTTGCAGAAAGTAGATAAACATCGAATCTCATTAGATCAGAGCATATATGTAATCATAAAACGTCACATCCAATATAAAAAAATGGCATTTTGTAAAATCAGATATTATTATTATTAATGATCGTGTGTATGTAAAAGAATAAAAGAACATCATTCTATGCTAACTTTAGAAAGATAAATATAGCGAATCATTATTCCAAAGATATATTCTCGCCTAATTTCAACTTGCATTTACAATGATCTCGGGTTATGGAAAATAACTCAAAGTAGGATATATCTGCTGTATGAGATGATAAATTGGTCTAATCTAATCCGGTAATCGAGGAAGAATGAACACCTGCGTATGCCTGCTTTAATGTATCCATATCGGCGTCTGCAAAGGGACTGAGAGCTTCCTCACCCTTGTTTAGGTGGCGATAGATCGTTGCGTGCGACAAAATTCGCTACGCTTAATACCGTGTTCTACAGATGTACATATCGCACATCAATAATGCAATGTCCGTAACAAGAAGGTAGGCGATGTTTATAGCCACATGGTTTCTGTAATGAGAAAATTAATAGCACGAATGCGAACGAGAAGTATAGACACAGGGCCGCAGGTAAAAATAAAATTTGTAAACTGAAAAATTATTACTAAAAAATAAATTTTAGTTTCGATTTTGCGTACTATGTTTTTGCTTATTATGTATAAATCGTAAAAGATTGATTTTTAAAATATTATATAAATATGTGTAATAGAATTATAAAAATTTAAAAGTTTAATTTTTTATATCAATAATTGTCCAGTTGTGCTTTACCGTAGTTTTATTTTGAACGTTGCTTGTGTCCGTGGAATAACTTTCTTTGATAAGGACGAGATCTCTTTTTTCCTTGCACTTTCGCTCATCTCTATCTAGAAATTTGTGAAACCGATCCTGTGCGCCCCTTGTTAATGATTCATTGAAACTTCGTGGCGCAACAAGGGATGTAAAAGTTTTCCGAGCTGATCCTTCTCCAACTTCTATAAACAGTTGTTCTTTCATCACGTCTCGGCGAAATTACACGTTTGACTATACACTACAGACTATAGACTACTCGACTATAGCTGTAAATATGCACGCATTACCAATGCGTGTATGTTACCAGAGATGACTATGCTATCATAGAATAGTATCAGTGCGTGGGTCTTTCATCGGAGATGATTATATTAGCATAGATTATATCTAACAATAAGTGTGAATGTCACGTTTCGATTATTTCTCATACGGGCAAGTACCTTTCGATATATCTGGTACATATCATAAGAATTAAATAACGCGACAATTATACACAGTGTCTAAGAGGATACATTTAAATATTTCTCGTTTTTGAATATACGAGATTGTTAAGGACGAAGTTGGTTTGAAGAGACATGATATGATAAACATTAGAAAAAACTACCGGTTTATTGTTCTCGGCATTTCAAGATTCCCAAATTTCTTTTTTTAAACGAGATAATAATATTCTTATATATAAAAATGACTAGTTAATTCTTTTTATTACGTACGAATAAGAGATATATGCCAGTTTTTTTTCTTTTTTCTTTTTCCGGCGACGTAAATATTTATATTCTATTTAAATATACTACGTGAGATAAAGATATTTATTGAATAAATCTTTATCATACGCCAAAACACTAGTAACTTTCAGATATAGATAAGTCATTTCTATATTATAATAGTAACATAGACACTATTAAGGCATTAATGTTGTACTAGAACTTGTCTGAAGATCTTTCGTTCGCACACAGTTACAAATATGAGATACACCAATATAAATAATATATTACCGCCGATGTCTTTCAACAATTTTAATAATACATTTATAGGAGAAAATGTACGACATGCTTATTAATGATTTAATAATATAAATAAAATGGGTTTTTCTTTCATCTATTATTATATTAATACTTTCTTGATGAAAATGA